TTTCTGTCACTACTGCTCTGCTGCCTAACACTTTAACACAGGTCAGCAGAACCTCATATATCATCATCAGATGAAATATTCAGTTCTGTAAAATAATACAAGAGTAAATGTTCCTACGATGAAGAAAAACACACTCAGGTCTTTGAGGTTAAATGTCTTGCAGGTGTTTGTTAGTGTGACAGATAACAAGTCACATTATAGGATTACAGGATTATACTGGTGTGTTTGTATGCGTCAGTCCATTTACTACAGTACTGCCAAACATTTTTTCAGAGCATACTGCAGTTCTTTTTTCTTAATTCCCCTTTTCCTACCATGAAGACAACCCCTGTTTCACTTAATGTCTGCATTTATGAAGTAAACTTTATAAGTAAGACACTTTTCCAGACCTGCAGATACCTTACTAACGCCTGTATAATAGTCAGTGATTTACTCTGAAATGAGCTGTAAATTAAGATTTCACACTTATGAGTCATCATGATTTTGCATACCGACAGTCATTTTCACATCTATAACACATGAAACATTGCATTGTGGGATTGTTGGCAGAAAGCAAGAATGACAGGCAGTAGAGTGGTTAAAGAGGATAAAAATGAATAAAAAGTAAAAAAACAATATGCTAAAACTGAAATCCTCAAGTTGAGTACCTCCAAATTCTGAATAAATATACTTAGTTATGTTCTGAATTTGCTGTTTAAACAACCTACTTATTGTTCACTCCTATAGTAGATAAATTGATGAGCTCACAGGCAGATAGATACTGAACATAACAAACATAACTCTCTGTATGTTTAATGACTCCTGCTCACAGCAGCTGCCAGCACATTCTCACTTATAGACATCTGATACGCCATACATAATGTTGGCACTGTAAAAATCTGTGTGGGAAACATTCAGCTGTGGGAAAGTAATGGTAAACCCTAAACTCCCAGCAGAAGTATTCAGATCCTTAATTTAAATAAAAGTCCTGCATTGAAGCGATAATATGTAACATTTCTGAAGTAAAATGTCTATAAATTCTAGAGTTATGTTCTACATGGAGTTCTTAAATTATCCCAAATGTTTCCAACAATGTTCAAACTCAGAAAGTAATGTAAATGTAAAGTAAACATATTTGTTAAACAGCATTTTATTGTTGTAGTCAGTCGAGATGGAGCTAGTTTGAATTACTTTTATACTGTAAACTGTCTAAGATCAAAGCTTTTATATGTAAAAAACAAGTTACAGTGCAACAGATTTCTAATAAGTGTACTGAAGTAAAACATGCAGTTTCCATCCTGAAATGTAGTGAAGTATGAAGTGGCATACATCGAAAATACTCAAGTAAAGCATAAGTAACTCAAAACTGTAAGTAAATGTATCTTCCACCTTTTCCTGTCACAGACAGTATTAAATACATCCCCACTTCATTCTTCAAAATTCATTAATGGAAACACGTGTGATTATATAATCCACTCGAGATGATGCAGTACGTTCACGAAACAAAGCTGGAGGTCGAGTCCAAATTCCTCCATCTCAGAGTGCTTGAATGGAGGGAAGGAGCGGAAGAGAGGAGGGGAGGGAGGGAGGTATAAGGGAGGGAGGGCGGCAGCCGGGCCGAACAAGGAGCTCTTTATAATGATTGACTCTTTACACGGTGACTCATCGTACTTCACAGGCCTGTCTGTGGCCTGAGGAGGCCTGCCCTCGTGCTTACTGAATGACACACTGTGTTGTCAGAATGTCAGGATGTCATGTTGGGATGTTTGGAGTGCCTCCCCCCCAACATCACACACACACACACACACACACACACACACACCTTGGCGTCTATTGTACGCTGTCAGTCTCTGCTTCGCTCACATTTACATTAAAATGTGCTTTATTGACTTAGTTAAAATTACACAGAGCAGCAACCACTTGTACTAGCATTGTGACTGATGTTAAAAGCTACAGTCGTTGCACACAGGAAGTTTATTCCTAATAAAAACATTAGAACATAAAAGAAAGTTAATTTATTTAATAAAAATAAAGAATTATGTTAGAGATTTGGCTGCCTACATGTACCATAGTTTGAGAAGCAGGGATGTAGAGTACTGTCGATGCAGGTTCTTGATTAAAGAAACAATCATTATTTTGGGAAAAATTGAAAGATTTTACTTTTATGTAGAAAAAAGTTGAAAAAGTTGAGAAAATAGTTGTAATTTTGGTTTCTCCTAGTGCTATGAATGTAAAGTCATAATCACTGTACACTGAAGTTGTAGACAAGAGGTTAAAGAAGTTGACATGAGCTGTGAGAATGTGGTGTAAAGGTATTTTCTTAATGTCAAAAAAAGTCCACTAACCTCCAGGCCTCAATCCTGAATCCTGCCTGAATAAATAAAAAATGACCGGTGAGTTCCTGTTCTGCTGACACAAGTTGGTGGTTGTATAATTCAAACAAAAGGTCCCAACGACAGCAAACACAAAAGCAGTTACAGTAGCAGGCAGTTATTACAGTTGATGTCACACCCTGTTTGAGAACAACGTACTAAAACAGACATTATTCCTCTTTTTGTCTTCGTCAGATACCCGGAGTTTCCTGGATAGCATGAACCACGCCGGCGGCTCCACAGAGGGAGAGCTGTTCAGGTCAGACGTGTCGGTCACTCCTGCTTCCTGTCAGAGGATCTTTGGCTCCATGTGCTCGGTGTCATCAGACAGCCCCCTCCCGCACACAGACAGGTAAAGCTGATGGTACTGCATGCTGCATTATTATACCCATCAATAAATCAATAAAAAGCCATAATGAGACTGTTGTAAGTTACATGCCCCCTCCCCCATCGCACAGGACGACCTACCCGTAACCTACACACACACACTGTATGACCCTAACATTCCAATAACCACGTTTTAGCTCCAACTATGCATATCATAAATGACTCGCTCCATTATAGCTCTTTACCTTTGCAGACGCAGGAGGAATGTGTTTCTACTTGTTGAAGTCACATTTGACAGGAAGTGATTTATTTGGCTTTTGCGAAATACCCAAACAAACTGCAAGGCCGAGAGCCTCCTCGACTTCAGGGCCCGGGGCACATGCCCGGTTTGCTCTTTATGCTGGAAATCAGCTTAAATGCTGTTCAGCACAAAGGGTAATCACTTCATGGCACAAAACAGGAATCTCTTGGAGCAGCGTTCTGTCCTCAGAGCTCAGTCTCACAGTGCAACCGGGCGCCCTGGTAGCTCACCAGGTAGAGCTGGCAGCCCGCGTACTGAGGGTGAGTCCTTCCATTGGTTGACTGCGGCCTGTAGCCCTTCGCTGCGTGTCATCACTTCTCTCGCCACACTTCAGCTGTCACTATCGATTAAAGGCAATAAAAGCCCCCCAAAAATATAGTATTGTAGAGTTTTCATGCTCTCATTTTATCGTGTTTTTAAGAAAACCACGATTAAACCTTCGTAGGTCCCGCCCCTTTTGGAGGCTCGGTCAACCTTCTCATTTCCTGTAAATGTTGCTACATAGACGAGGCTAGCACTTAGCATATCTGATTAGCTAGCTAATAATAATTAATGATTCGGACACTTTCTTTCCGTCTCTAACCCTCACCCTTTCTCTCCGCAGCTCCACTCCTCCTCCTGTGTGGCACGACCGGACTCCAAACTCCCTGAACTCCCCGTATCACTCCCAGCCTTCACCCCCTCTCTCTCTCAGCACTCCCAATGCCCACAGCTCTCCCAGGGGGGCTCTGAGGAGCCTGGGTGGAGGTCTGGGGGTCCGCAGGGAGACAGACAGCACAGACTTGTCCTCGCTGTTGTTGGGGAACGGCGGCCTGGAGCACAGCCTGCTGGAGGCCATGGAGGGCCTTGGGAGTCTGAACCTCGGGGGAGACGGGGGACTCCCTCCACTGCTGCCCGAGAAGAGAAGGTTGGGTGAGGGGGGAGAGCTCGGCTCCCGTTCGCCCTCTCTAAGCGGGTTTTCCAGCCCTCACAGCGGCAGCAGTGTCAGCATCCCATTCTCATCCCCGATGACCCCCGACCCCCTCAGAGGACTCAGTGGCACCCAGTCACCCGGAGCAGGTAGACAGCCTCCGTCTCTCTCATTAATATAGCTAATCAAAATCACAAAAAAACACTGACCACTGATCAGTTTAACTTTTTCCAGCACTTTCAACCACATCTCAAGTTGTGACCCAAGTTGGTCCCTCAAAATTCATGGTAAATTACAAGAATTTCTTCTTTTTTTAGGATTTAAGGTTCATTTAAAAAGGTCCAGTGTGTACAATTAAGTGGCATCTAGCCGGTGAGATTGCAGACTGAAAAACTTGCCCAACAAACCCGTTTCAAGCGTGTAGGAGAAACTACGGTGGCCGTGAAACTTACGGAAAATATTAAAGGCCCTGTCTAGAGCCAGTGTTCAGTTTGTCTGTTCTGGGCTACTGTAGAAACATGGCGGCTCAACATGGTGGCCTCCATAGAAGAGGACCCTCCCTTTGTAGATAAAAATGTCTCATTCTAAATTGTGAAAATAATCTAATCAAGAAACACTTTTTTGCCAATGTCAAATAAAAAAACTAAATCTGTGATTGACAAAAAACTTTCTCTTTAGTTAGAAAAGTTACATCGCTCCAACCAATCTTCAACTGACCATTTTTAAAAAGTTACCATAACTGAATTATCTTTAATAACTCATAGAGTTGATTTAGGACAAGAACAGAAACCTAACTTGCGTGCATTCCCGGCTGGCTTTCTGCAGACTAGCAGCTACAATATAAAACAGAAGTTTATTTGATCAGGTGATCAGTCAGTCATTTTAAGGCTGCAGTGATCACAAAACCTCTCCTGGAGGGACTGTACAGGTGTTTAGACTAAATGGTAAAATGGAATTTTACCGCTGCTGATCAAAACATTGAAATGAAGTAGTCACTCTGCAACCCCCCAAAAAATGCTGTTAGTAGAATATTTCTTCATTAAGAGTATTAAGGTATTAAACATTTGGGAATAAAACAAATCGGAGATTTTGAGGAAAAGCTGTAATAAAAAAAGTGTCATAATTCTACAAGTAATGATAGTTATTTTTAGAATAACTGCGTAATAGTTTTAATATTTTGGAGAAAAACATTGTATTCATTTTTGGAGAATAACCCAAAATGCCACAGTATTGATGGATGATGATTGTAGATTATGGTGAGTGACTGAGACATTGTTACTGTAACTATAAGTAGAGTCTTTAAACATTTATTTCACTTTTAGAACCAAAAACTAAATTTAATTCACTGTTGAGGACAAACATTTCAGTGAGAATACATCTGTTTGTCATTTGTGTGTACTGACCCTTTAACAAAGTCTGCTGCCTCGTCACATTTGGTCCAGAGCCAGTCTGAAACCTAACGTGGAGCCTTAATCTGTGTCTTGCAGACTTTGGCAGTAAGCAGGACACTGTGAAGTTTGTTCAGGACACTTCCAAGTTCTGGTACAAGCCCGACATTTCCAGAGACCAAGGTAAATATTGGTCTTGGACAGGCTGATAATACGCCCTTGTGCAAAGGTTTTTTTTTGCTCCTTGTACAATTTGAACACGATGTTTCTAACTATAGCTCTTCTGTGTGTTTTCTCCCTCTGTTGAACAAGCCATTGCCGTGCTGAAGGACAAAGAGCCCGGCTCGTTCATCGTCAGAGACAGTCACTCTTTTCGCGGGGCGTACGGATTGGCCATGAAGGTGGCCACGCCCCCTCCGTCTGTGTTACAGCAGAGTAAGAAAGGTAGGCTGGAAATGTACTCGCCATAACAGTGTCTTTTAAAGTGCTTCCTTCTGCATTATAAGTCATCTTTCACTGATGTTTTCTTTGTTATACAATGTGATTGACTGGGAAATAAGATACCAGTGAGTAACACCATGTGCGAATGTACTGAAATATACACAAAACGTACTTTAGTTTTCTGTGTGTCCGCCGTAGGAGACCTGTCCAATGAGCTGGTGAGACACTTCCTGATAGAGTGCACGCAGAAAGGAGTCCGTCTGAAAGGCTGCCCCAACGAGCCGTACTTCGGTGAGAATATTGAAGCTTTAATCGAGCGTCTCAGACCTTCACTCACACATTTAATGCTGATTTATATAAATATCTAAATCTAATTCTTCACAATGAATTTAAAGTTGTTAGAGATAATTTTAATGTTGAAGCTGCTCCAGGAGTTAAATAAAACCATTTGAGTAGTTGCCGCAGTAATCTCATGTTCTATAAAATGTTTATCTGCAAAGTGAGTAGTAATTACTGCCGTCAGATAAATGGAGCTTTATTTTACTGGTCCCTAATTATCAGGATGTTATTGATCTTTAAAAATAAAGTGTTACCAACAAACGTTGAGGAAAAGAAAATGAAGTAGGAAGCAGAGTATCAATGCTCTCCACCAAACCAGGACTGTGGTACCTTTAGTGTAATGAAGCACATTTAAACTGATATTTTAAAGTCAGTGAGCTTCCTCCAATCTTTCTGTTAATACTCCACTGGGGCGGACTCACTGAGGTTATTCTAGTGCAGGACTATAATGTGTTTCCTCTGCCACCCTCTATTGGTCAGTACGAAGAGGTGCAGCACTCATTCGCTCTTTCACACACTCACTAATAGTAACTAATGTATTTTTTATTTTCCTCTCAGGAAGTCTCACAGCTCTGGTGTGTCAGCACTCAATCACCCCTCTGGCTCTGCCCTGTAAACTCATCCTGCCTGACCGAGGTAAACTGTGTGTGTATGTTTGTGTGTGTGTGTGTGTGTGTGTGTGTGTCAGAATTACAGCTGATATCAAGGAGTCCTTTTGTAGTCTTGAGCAACTAAAAAATGTCATTAAATCAATGGTGAGATTTTGGTCTCTATTACAAAAAGACACAATTCAATACTTTACACTGAACTCTATTGCTCTGTTTTTTGTTAATTAATTAATTTAAATAGATGTTATACTCTTTTTAGTTCTTGAAAGGCTGCTTGTGATAGGATAGCGGTTCCCAACCTGGGGGTCGGGGCCCCCCCTAGTGATTACCAAAGCTTCTTGATGTTAAGTGTTAATAAAACTTAATAAAAATATACACAGTAGGTCCATATCTCAACATTTGTAACTTTTGTGAAGTAAAGTTAATTGTCTAATATAATAATGGGCGAGCTCCAGGACAAGAAAACACTAAATTTGTAAAAAAAATAGCCTGTTAAGTCTGCATGACTGTTGAAATCATAAAACACATAAAATCATTGTTAAAAATACATAAGACAAACAGAAAAGTGTAAAAATTTCCCTAAACATGAGAACTGTTGCAGTTACTGAGTTTACTGTTTGGGTTCATTGAACATCGACAGCTACATAGTATTAGTGTTATAAAACACAGCCTGAATCAGAACGGTGCATAGATGCAGTTTGTGTGTTTCTTGGTTAGTAAATTCTTGTCTCTGTTTGTGTTTTTGCCTGCAGACCCGGTGGAGGAGCTGAACGACTCGTCTGCACAGACATCGACAAACTCCGCGGCGGAGCTTCTGAAACAGGGAGCAGGTACGGGACAAATACACACACCCTGCATGAGCTGAACTTCCATTCATATCCGCTACGAAACACACAAACACTCCCTGACATAAAACCAGAAGATGAAGAGTTTAACTTTAGTTTTGTGGTCACTGTGCAGCGTGTAACGTGTGGTACTTGGGCTCTGTGGCGTTGGAGTCTCTGACGGGACATCAAGCGGTGCAGAAGGCGACCACGCTGACGCTCGCAATGGACCCACCACCAGCGTCCACCGTCGTCCACTTCAAAGTGTCGGCGCAGGGGATCACGCTCACTGACAACCAGAGGAAGTGAGTGTTTATACGTGCACAGTCCAAACACAGAGACAGATGTGAACATGTTGATTCTGATCACATCTGTTTGGTCCTGCAGGTTATTCTTTAGGAGGCATTACGCCGTCAACACCGTCATCTTCTGTTCTCTGGACCCACAGGGCAGGAAGTGAGTATCGTGACTTGTGTATATTTTCTTGGAAAGCCTTAGACAAATCACATCTCACCCCTAGACTGCAGGAATGAGTCCTAAAACTCAGAACTGAGTTAGCATTTTATGGGAAAACAAGTATTCAGCATTAGTTTCTGTCCATCTATGGTGGTGCAGCAATTTTCCCCTCATGCAAAATTTGAGAAAACACAAATTGTTGTTCCCTTTGTAACAATAAATGAGAATTTAGATTCAGATATTGGATTAGAGCCTCCTCAAATACCACAAAAGTATTAAATACTAGTGAGGAGTCGTATTATACTGAACTTTGTCCTGTTATGACATATTTCAACAGAAATCTTTAGATTTTTTGTTTAGTTTATATGCCATCATATTTAGAGTTTTGTCTTTATCATAGTCCACAAAAGCAGTCAGAACAAAGACTTTATATATGTGATTTATAAATGAATACAGCACATTTGATGGTCAGTAACTTACTTACTTATTTTGTTATTCTGTCCCAAACAGATGGACAAGAGACAGTGGTTCTACTGCAAAGTAAGTCCATTTTATTTACTGTACCTGTCTTCTGACGCACCGCACTGCTCTTACAGTTTCTTTTAAACAGTAAAAAGTTGACATGAATTTCATCTTCATTCACTGAAAGATCTGATCATTCAAGGCCTGAAGTCTGCTCAGGGGGTTGCATTTTATAATTACAGGCAAAAACTAGGAATAAAGTTGTCACTAGGAATTAAGACAGATGTAGTACGACGAACCGGGCGAAACTAATGAGACACAGCTGAAGCCAATCAGGGTGGGACAAATAATCAGAACAGGCGGGAAACACACAAGGAAGCAGGAAGTGAAGAGGTCTGAAACAAGAGGAAATCAAACAGGAAATAAGACACATGAAATACTGAATAAATATGAAAGCATGCAAGAATAGTTGCTGGAAATGAGAGGATAGAATGACAAGCAACAAAGGTCTCTGGCAGGTTTTGAACAGGGGACGGAGCCGTTCGTGGCCACCAGGACGCCTCAAAAACAAAGACCTGATAGTGATATAGAACATTTAGCTGCTCTTCTGCTAAAAGATGTCTTTGCAACATACTGATTGATACTATTGATACTAAAAGGACAGGTTTTGGATTACTTTAAGCAAAACACTGAACTTCTACCTGCTTTTTATTGTCATTTGTAAAATGTAGTTAAAGGGACAGTTCACCTCAAAATCACTACATATTTTTTCTCTTACCTGTTGCACTATTTATTTATCCCTCTCTCTCTCTGTGTCCGTTTCTTCCAGGATCTTTGGATTCGTAGCCAGGAAATCTCAGAGTGAGACAGAAAACATGTGCCATCTATTCGCTGAACATGACCCCGAGCAGCCGGCGAGCGCCATTGTCAACTTTGTCTCAAAAGTCATGATTGGGTCACATAAGAAGTAACAAGAGCCCGGACTGAACCTCCAACAACAGTTTCATCCCAAGAGCCAAAAACGATGGACCCAGACACTCCAGCAGCCGCTCCCGTTGGTCCATCCTGCACAATAAACTTGAGTATTTTGTGCTGACTTTTTGCACTGCAGGATGCCGCCACCAGAGGGAGCCACGACTGTCATGTATAGATTTAAATCTCCTGAGCGGGAGGCTGTGACTACTTTATGATGCATCCTTTGGAAATGTGTATAAAATGTGTATAAAATCATAACCCACAGGATCTAGTATGAAAATGTTGTCACATTTATCTGACCTGTAGCTTCAGACTCTCTAAAAGAACCATATCACACTGTCCCTGCTTGTTTCTCACGGTCACAGCTGACGAATATAACACATTTACTTCTGATTAAAGCTGAAGAATGTCACATTTTTTTTTGTTTTAGGTAAAAATGCATAAATCAGGTTTCAACATCACTTTTGTGCAAACCACAGACCAACTGTCACGTGACAAAGCCAGTAATGTGGTTGCCTTGTACTTAAGATGGATTTATTGTGTTGTGTTTATAGTATTTATCCCTTTTTACAGATGTGTAAAAGTCTTTCTTTTTTTCCTAAATATACTTGTCATATATTTTTGTATATTAACACATACTGTACAGTAGGAAGGCAGTGAATGTATACATATTGTAGTAGGAAGAATATATGTGGTATTTTATGTAGCAGTAAGATACAACACAAGCTGCCCAGGTATACTTGTATCACTAATATAGATGTCAATATGCTCCCTTTTACAGTAACACCGTAATACAGATGTATGTACAGTTGTTGTGTTACGATAAAGTCATTCAGAGTTCCTCTAATAAGAGATCAAATACAGTCACTGTGAGAAACATTTGAGTCTTTTTTGTTCCATTCACAGCTTCCTCGAGTCATCAAATCTTGTTTTGCTGATTTGTAAATGAGCGTCGATCAGTCACCATAAAAAGTTACTAAAAATATAAATAAAACCCATCTCTGATCAATATTTACAGGAAATAATCTGCTCAAAATTCATCCAAATCCCTAATTTTACACAAATTTGAACTGGAAGTGAGTAAGAAAATGTGTTTTTTATGTGATTTGTGCGCACCAACACTTTAATAAGGTGTCCGGATGAGACTATCTAAACTAAAATACAATTTCATTACATTTTCTTTAGAGAAATGAATGAAATGCTCAGATATACGCCGACTGTGTATAGTTTATTTTATTTATACATTTTCTTACACCCCTTACAACATTTTTTGGAGGTTGGGAACCAGTGCTGTAGTGTGTATGTGGGACTGCAGTGTGTGTGTGTTCATGGTGATGGAGGAACAACAGTGTGGCACATTGGTGTGTTGTTAGTTTTTGGACAAGAATGATACAATACTTGTTAGCAGGATCCGTTTATAGTTGGTTTTTCTCTTTTTTTGCTGGATTTGATGAGATTAAGTCATCCTTCATTTCACTCTGAGCACCACAAATGAACCTGGAACCAAAACAATAACCAAAACTATCTGCATGTATAGATTATATGGAGGTAATATGGGGTGAACTGAACCTTTAAACTCTACAGTTCATGATTTTGCCAATAGATGGCAGTAATCAGCCACCACATCACACACACACTGCACACTGAATCCAAGTCTGGATGAGTTCTCACTACAATGCACAGAACCTGAAGGTGTTTCACAAACACAAAGTTTCTGGATGGATAATGTTGTTCTCTCTGTCTCTCTTCTCGCTTTTATAATCACCCTGGTTTTATTCCGAGAATCAGTTGCAGATGGAGCTGAGCAGGTCATCGCATGCAGGCAGGGAGAACCATCCTCTCTTGAAAAATCTTGGCAATGTCAGGGTCCAGGAGCCTCACAGATCTGCTGATCTGTCTGTCTCCAGCTCCTGTGTGTTGGTTGAGACTTTCGAGGAGGCCAGATCATCGGATACCAGTTTTGAATGAGGCTCTATTCAGGTTCCTGGTCTCTGTGGAGGGAGCTGAGGAACTGGAAGTGGGACAGAGACATGGGGACACATGACAGTCCTGCAGTCCTGGAGAGAGAGGGACAGCGTGAAGGGTGGGGGGTGTGCAGGGATAGTGTGTGTGTGTGTGTGGAGTGGGGGGGGTTCTCGGTGGTGGATGACCTCACCATTACGGGAAACTTTCCCACAGCCTGCATACAAAGAAGGTCGTCAAAAGGTAAAAAGGATGAGAAAGAATAGAAATTTAACACAGTGTGTAAAAAAGGAGGCAAAGTGCAGGAGAGCAGTTAGTCGATGAGAAAGAGGCTCTTTCGGAGGGGGAGTCGTCCCTTTTTTTAGTGGTTCAGAGATTTCGGGGATGATAGGAGTTCTGCTTCTGCACGGTCGCAACCTTCAGCCAGCTCCTGCCCTCTTCTCTGCTGAGTCACCTGCCGCCATTTTGTCCCCTAGCTGGACCTCTGCTTGCACTTCCTGCTGCACTTCCTGTCAGGCGGCCTACCAGCACCTGGCGGCCCGGTGGTTTTCACAGCTGCCGCCGCCGCCGCCACTGCTGCTGGACGACATCACATTCCTGGCATTGCTCGCTCCGAATGCTGTTTGGAAATCCAAAGGCCGGCTTCCGTTTGGGAATGCCTCCCTCACAGAGTCCCTCTCAGCCTCTGATCCCCGGCCTCCTCTCACTTTATTTGAGTTAGCTATTTAAAGCCCATGCTAAGTGCGCTGCTGCTGCTGCTCTGGCTACACAGGGGAGCAAACACACACTCCATCTCACACACTAAAACCACACCGGCCCACAAATAATCCCTCTCCTATTTTTAATTTGGTGGGCTGAAGGGACACAGCCTGCAGGGCAGACTGCGACCAGGCAGACGGACTTGGTGATTTTCGTTCTATTTGTTATGTGGTTAGTATGTAATTAGCTTTTAGTGATATGATGATATTTAGCCGCAGTGTTATCCTGTTTATCACAGCTTGAACACACACATTTACTCAAGTATTGTAGTTAACTTCTCAACTATTTCATACAGAAAAGGTGTATTTCATATTCAAGTTTATTTTGCTGGTAGGCGACTTTATTAAAGCATTACGCTAGTAGTAACGATTTATCTTAAAATAATGTTAAAGCTACACTGAGTTGTAATAGGAAGAATGATGCCTTTGTCTTGCTCCTTTTAACTTTTGTCTCTGGGTCGGGACAAGTGTGAAACGCTTTATACCACCAAGTCGCACACTGATTTTGGTGGAATTGGATCATATTTTATGGAGAAAATGTCTTCTGGACATCCTCCGACTGCTCTGCCTTAACTCGCGGTGAGTTTCCTCCATAATTAACAGAAATGTACACGTCTAATGTAATGATTAAAGATTTTAAACACAAATGTAATAGTTATTGTGTTACTAAAAGTAAGGAAATGTATTCATGTGTTAACATTTGCCGTAGTACTATCAACGAATTCAACGGACGTCTCGCTAAGAAACCGGCGCCTTTGTGTAAGTTAACTGCTAACTGTTGTAACTTAGCTTCCGTTCGCTCGGTAAGCCAGAGCATCGGGGAGCGTTGGTGTTTGCATTCTAGCTCAAGAGCTTTAAACAACACAGGACGTTGATGGAGGAAGCTAAGAAGACAGAAAGAGAGAGTGACTGAACAAGAGGCCGGCGGACGAGAGTAAATCTCGGACTGGTTTTTAGTTGTTGGCGAGAGCTTCGTGAAATAGAAGGCTGCAGACAGACGCCGAGCTGGTCTTCTCGCTGTTGGATTAGGAAGTCATGGCTTGCTATGTCATGTAGTTTTAATCATTACAAATGTATGTGTGCAGCTGTCCATATTTATGACAGCGGTTTATGAATTGCACTCATGAATCTGGGGCGCCATAGATATCACGTGCCAATCAATGCCAGACTTTTACTTGTAATGGAGTATTTTTACACTCTGTATATAATACAGAAAATACCAACTATTGTAGAGTAGACATTTGCACTGCTGCAAGTTTTCAAGCTTCTCTCAAAGAAGTGCACAAATGTAAATACATTTTTATGACATGCCTCTTTTCCATGTCTGATTCTTCTGTATTGCCTGCACTTGACCAGCCCCCGACTGCATTATTCTGCTATACTGCAAAGGTCTCGTAGCCTCTTCAGCTCCACATCAGCTGCGGAGTCAGTCAGTACAAACTGAAGTTGCGCAGCTAAACGTCGTCTCAACCCACAGAACCTTTCATTAAATGTTGCTGTGAAAGGATACATCGGCTCTACAGGTCAGGTTTGTCAGGTATTTAGACACACAGATACACTTGTATCAGATACCACAGATACCACTTTTGTCAAAATAACTTTT